GGCCATGTTTGAATCGCCCTCCTCCTGCTGTGCTCTGGCAGGTGCCCATCTTCAGCAAGAAGGAGGAGATATTTAGTTACCTGGCCAAGTACGCAGTGCCCGTGATGAGAGCTGCCTGGCTGATCAAGATGACCTGTGCCTATTACGCTGCCATTACGGAAACGAAGGTGAAGAAGCGGCATGTCATTGACCCCTTCAGCGGTAAGGGCTGCTGCTCCGGCCTCGAACGCCTCCAGGATCAATGTAGTGCCCTGGGCTTGGGTTGAGCTGGGCCTCTCTCAGCCTCCACCCGGGGCAGCCGTTTCTCCTGCACCCAAATCACCAGGACGATCTGGCTTTCCCCCCTCACCGTCCCTTGTCTCCATTGCATCCAAAGCCTTCTCTGCTTGAGGGGTCCCACAGCAGGTCCAGCCCCGTCTCTGCCGCTGACTGCCTCTCTCCCTTTCTAGAGTGGACACAGATCATCACCAAATTTCTGTGGGAGCAGCTGCAGAAGATTGCCGACTTCCATCGGCAGCTGCTGGCACAAGCCTGCGGCTCGCCCTCCAGCATCATGCCTCAGGAGGTGGAGCACTCGGTGAAGCAGTGGGACTACAATGAGAAGCTGGCCATGTTTATGTTCCAGGTGAGGGCGGGAAGAGAAAGTGGCCTCTGGCTGGCTGGCGGGTCCCCTTTGGTGGGAAGTGTGTTGAAGATGGGCGAATTGAGTCCCCTCTGGCCCTCTCACTACGCCTCTGCCTGCTCCTTCCAGGACGGGATGCTGGACCGGCATGAGTTCCTGACCTGGGTGCTTGAGTGCTTTGAGAAGATTCGCCCGGGCGAAGACGAGCTCCTGAAGCTGCTCCTTCCGCTGCTCCTGCAGGTCAGACGCCACTCCCCAGGCAAACTCAGAAGAGGGGCCAGCTAGGTTGAGACGGGAAAACGGGAGTAAAACTGTAAGGAAGGGAGGGCTTTCGCTGGATGGGCCGTTCAGCGGCCTAGAAGATGGCGGGCGGAAGCTTAGGCGCTGGGTCTTGAGGGAGTGCCCGGCTGCAGCCCTGGTCTCTTTTCTCCCCAACAGTATTCCAGTGAGTTTGTGCAGTCTGCCTACCTGTCCAGGCGCCTGGCTTACTTCTGCACCCGCCGGCTTGCCATTCTGCTGGATGCCAGCGGTGGGCACCCGGCTCACCATCTTCCATCTCAGACGACCCCGGCACTCCCCTCCACCCCGACTCCCCAGCCGGCTGCGGGAAACTCCTCCGCCAGCCCTTTCAGCGACCTGCTGCTGTGTCCCCAGCATCGCCCAGTAGTGTTTGGGCTCAGCTGCATCCTCCAGGCAAGCGCTTGGCTTTGCAGGGCTCGGGAGGCGCACTTGTGAGTTGTCTAACAGGCCTTCAAAAGGAGCATGGGGACAATCTCAGACTTTTCCTGGCTGCTCCTTGTAGCACAGGGGTGTCAAACTGCCGGCCCGTGAGCCAGTTGCATCATACGGAGGCCGCACCCACCCCAGCTCCGGCAATGTGAAAAAAGTCACGATACGTCACGTCACATGGCGAGTTTGACACCCGTGTTGTAGCAGGAGGGCAGAGAGGCAGCATCGGGAACTTCCCACTGCTGAGGACGGGACTTTCCCTTAGAGTCCTAGCAGGAGTGGCTCACCACTGGGAGACACAGGGGAGCCCGGAAGGAAGGGTGTTGCGAATATCCAGGAAACATTTGGCTTTGGGGATCAGAGAGAACTGTGGAAATGGCTGACCATCCGAGTGCTGGACACCGAACTGCCCTTGAGAAGGATGGCCGCCTCCTCACCCCCGAGAGAACTCAACCTCCCCCTTGTCTCCTCCCTTCTCCTCTGGCTTTAGAGTATTGTCCTGTGTTGCCCCAGCGCCCTTGTCTGGCATTACTCCCTTACGGACAGCAGAATCAAGACGGGCTCTCCCCTCGACCACCTGCCCATTGCCCCCTCAAACCTGCCCATGCCAGGGGTCAACACCAGCTTCATACAGCAGGTGAGCAGCAGTCCACCTCTTGGCCTGGGTCGTCTCCAGCCCTCAGGGCTGACCCAGGGGTGGGGGAGGGGCTGTGCCAGGCTTGCTCCCTCCTTGTTTCTCCGGCTGGCTCAGGATCCTCGCAGGAGCCAAGGTCTTCCTCTGATGCCCCTTCCTTGCCAGGTCCGAGCGAGGCTCCGGGAGACGGAGCAGCAGATCAAGGAGCGTGGCCAGGCCGTGGAAGTGCGCTGGTCCTTCGACAAATGCCAGGAAGCCACTGCAGGTAGCCCCTGCCCCGAGTCCCCCCCCGCCCCCCTCCCTCGCTGCCCCTGTGTCTGAGCAGCTGGGTTGCAGTTCTCTGCTGTGCAGGCGGTGGGCTCCCTGCCTTTGACCTCTCCCTTTCTCTTCCAGGGTTCACCATCAGCCGGGTGCTCCACACTTTAGAAGTCCTTGACAGTCACAGTTTTGAGCGTTCGGACTTTAGCAATTCACTGGATTCTCTGTACAACAGGATATTCGGGGGAGGGCCGAGCAAGGACAGTCACGAGGTGGGGGAAAGGGGCTTCTCTGTCTTGGTGGGGAAATGGGATCCAACGGGAAGAGGGCGTGATCGGAGGAGGTGGCTCTGGACAGGGGTGCCTCCTTTGTCCAGGGGCCAGTGCAGGGTGCTCTCTCTGCACACGTTGTGTTGGCACACAATGCACTGCCAAAGCATTTGATTCAAGGCAGCCAGGTTGGAATTGCTGCTGCCGGGAGGCGGTCAAGGCTCCCAGCTGAAATCATTTTAAGATGGACAGGTTAGATCTACAGCAGAGGAGACCTCCCCCCATGGTGGCTTGCGGGGGCCTCCGTGTTCAGCTGCTGAGAGTGAAATCTAAACCAGGGAAAGCAGCTGGTGCTGGCTCCGTGTTCTCCTGGGGAGGACGAGGCTGGAGGAAGGGTCTACGGCTCCTCTTCAGCTGACGGCCTCCCCCGTGCAGCGCACGAAAGGAAGCACCGGCCCTGGCTGCTGCACCGTGGGGAGCTGTCTTGGAGCTTGACTGAAGGCTGGGGAGAAGGTTGGGCCGGCCCTTCCAGCAGATTAACCCCCTTGCTTTCCTGGCAGATCTCCCCCGACGACGACGCCGTGGTGGCTCTGCTCTGCGAGTGGGCCGTGAGCCACAAGCGGTCAGGACGGCACCGGGCAATGGTGGTGTCAAAGCTGCTGGAGAAGCGGCAATCTGAAATAGAGGCCGAGGTGAGCAGAGTGGTGCTTCCAGAGGGGCTGGCAGAGGCGGTGTGAGAAGGCCAGGAGGGTGGGGGAGGGCGTCCCCTTTAAAAAGGAAATGTCCGTTGGGGTTAATATCCTAGAATGTCCCATTCTGACTCGACCGGGATTGTTTGGTCACCTCAGTGGCCCAACTTGGCCACGGACAAGGTTGGACATTTCTGGCCAGGTCGGAACACTTTTGAAGTTGATACTGGACATTTGTGGCCAAGACATTTTGACCTCAAGGTGCTTTACAAATCTGTGTTTTCATCCCCAACAACTTTGTGCTCAGTCCACAAAGTTCATTTGAATATTCTGCAAACACAAGTGAAGACAACATCGAGAGTGCAGGTATCCTAAAACATTAAACATTGGGGGAAAAAAGAAAAAATAATAAAGCCTGTGAAATATTCAGCAGTGATGGTGAATGCCAGAGACGGGGCTGTGAAAACTTCCAAAGTCCAAATGCAGCACGAAAAGGGGGGGGAGGGGGGAGTGCAGTCCCTGCAGGAGATGAGGCCACGGAAATAGTCCCACGCGTGGGGTGTTTGTTCCAGCACAAACTCTGCTGCAGGGGCCCAAATCTAGGCTCGGGCGTTCTGGGGAGGGCCTGGGAGCAGGCGTGGGGCTCACCCCTTCTGTTCTTGTGCTTGTGTTCAGCGCTGTGGCGACTCAGAAGTGGTGGACGAAAAAGGCTCCATCTCGTCGGGTTCCCTCTCGGCAGTGAGCGCCCCCGTCTTCCAAGAGGTCCTCATGCAGTTCCTGGACACCCAGGCCCCCATGCTGAGTACGGACCAAGCCCACGCCCGGCTTCTGCTTGAGAGGAAAGGGGGGGGGGTCAGGCCAGGGACGGCTGGGCAGAAGCAGGCCTGGCTCCTCATGCCTCCCTCCCTCCCTGGCAGCTGACCCCAGCAGCGAGAACGAGCGGGTCGAGTTCTTCAACCTGGTCCTGCTCTTCTGCGAGCTGATCCGACACGACGTCTTCTCGCCCAACATGTACATGTGTACCCTGATCTCGCGGGGCGACCTGGCCATCGACCACGGGCCCCGCCCCGCCTCCCCCTTTGACGATGCGGCGGAAGAGCACGACCGGAAAGAGCGGGAGGGCGGCCACGGCCTCAAGCTGGAGGTTTGAGCTGAAAGCCTTCCTTGTTCTGATCGGGGGGGGGGAGGGCTGGGCTCCTTCTGCTTCAGGGTGCTGAAGGAGGCGCCTCATCCCTTCTCCCTGCCAGGATGCTGGCCTGTCGGAGTGCCACATGGACATCGACCACAGTTCCAGTGTCATCTTTGATGACATGGAGAAGGCTGATTTCTCGGTAGGGCCCGGCCGGGCATCCTGGCTGGTCTTTGGGAAGCCCATAGTGCTGGTGATGTGGCAGAGGTTGCCTTGGGTCCTTCCTTCCCTCACTGGCAGACTTGGGTTGCCTCCTTCCCAAGAGAGCCGCTGCCCTCCAGCGCCCTTCCTGGGGGAAAAGGAGGTCCAGCCCATTCTGTCTGGGGCCTGTGGGGGCCTCAAGGGGAGCGGAAGCCATGGGATGCTGTGCAGAGAGAGGCAGAAGTCCTTGGTGGAGGGTGCTCCTGCCTGGCCAGCCTTCGGGGGCAGAGTCTTCCCTGCCAAGATGCAGAATCCACTCACCTTTCTGCCTTTTCCCTGCCCCCCCGCCAGATGTTCTCTCCTTCCATGCACTGTGAATCCAAAGCCAGCCCTTCCCCAGAGAAACTGGACCCTGAGAAGGACAGGGTGGCCGATGGGACATTGGCAACACTTTATGAGCAGCCTCGACACATCCAGTACTGCACACATTTCCCCATTCCCCAGGTGAGATGCGATGAGCCGGGCAGTGGGGAAGGGCTGCTGTTTGCTGGGCGTGCGGGGGAATGAGCCGGGGCCTGGTGAGGCCTCCAGGAGGTCCCAGATGGCTTCATGTGAGAATCTTTGGGAGGTGCCTCCCTCGGAAAGGAAAGGCCTCCCTGTGGGTGGCTGGAGAATGTCCCATTGACCGCAGTGGGACCTGCTCTTTCCCGCCTTTCTGCCTTCTCAGGAGGAGTCGAGCAGCCACGAGTGCAACCAGCGGCTGGTGGTCCTTTTCGGCGTTGGGAGGCAGCGCGACGAGGCACGCCACGCCATCAAAAGAATCGGCAAAGATATCTTGAAGGTGCTCAACAGGAAAAGCACAGCAGAGACAGGTTGGTGGGGCTGCTCAGTGGCCCGTGGAAGGGCCTGTGTGGAAGCCATTGGGACCTGCGGAGGTCATCACAACGTATCTGCCTTGGGCAGGTGGCGAGGAAGGGCAGAAAAGGAAGAGAAACAAGCCAGAGGCCTTCCCAACCGCAGAGGACATCTTTGCGAAATTCCAGCATCTTTCCCATTTTGACCAGCACCTCGTCACCTCTCAGGCAGGCTCCTGCGGCCGAGGGCGGGTTGGAGGCTGGGAGGGAGCAGCAGGGGGGTGGGGTGTGTGCTTTGGGCTCTGGAGACCCCTGGGTGTGACTGCTGGGCACCACACTTCCTTCTTCAGGTATCTCGCAACGTCTTGGAGCAGATCACCAGCTTTGCCTTAGGGATGTCCTACCACCTGCCTCTGGTGCAGCACATCCAGTTCATCTTCGACCTGATGGAGTATTCGCTCAACATCAGCGGGCTCATCGACTTTGCCATCCAGGTGAGTCGCCCGAACTGGGGTTCGGCTGGGCGGAGCTTCCGAGCTTGCCCGTGGCCGAGATGGGTTGCCAGGTCATGTTGGAAGCCCCATGCCAGGCCGAAATCCTCACCAAAGGCCCTTTGAATCCCCAAGCACAGAAGGGCACAAACAGTACGCAACTGCAGGTAGTGTGTGCAAGGAATATGCACACAACATAACTTGCGCTTTCCAGTTCTTTTGCCGTAAAGTGCAAAAGCTCCCTTCCCTCCCAACTTAACAGTGTGAGATGCCGCAGCCACACTTGGTGACTTGGATGCCGAGGGCTGCAGCAGGACCTGGTCGCCTCATCTTGGCTCCCCCCAAGCACAACGTTTCCCCAAACCTGCCCCTTAAGCCTTGCCACCCCTAGTGGTGCTGGAGGCTGTGAGTTGATCTGCATCTTCCCTAACCCCCTCCCCGCCCCGGCGGATCCCGGATGGCTGCTTAGCTGCTGAACGAGCTGAGCGTGGTGGAGGCCGAGTTGCTGCTCAAGTCCTCTGACCTGGTGGGCAGCTACACCACCAGCCTGTGCCTGTGTATCGTGGCCGTCCTGCGGCATTACCACTCCTGCCTTATCCTCAACCAGGACCAGATGGCCCAAGTCTTCGAAGGGTGAGCCCTGGGCACACGCCCTGCAGGCTTTAGGGGAGGTGACCAGCCCTCCTGGAACGGCTCCTTCGGGGGTGGGGATGGGATGAGGGGCAGGGGTCGCTCAGCCTGTCCCGGCTTTCTCCCACGTGCTTCTCTCCTCCCTCCCAGGCTGTGTGGGGTGGTGAAGCACGGCATGAACCGCTCGGATGGCTCTTCGGCCGAGCGCTGCATCCTGGCCTACCTCTACGATCTCTACACGTCCTGCAGCCACCTCAAGAGTAAATTTGGGGAGCTCTTCAGGTTGGTGCCCTACCTGTGGCCCTCTTGCCAGCCTCTTCCCTCCCGAGCCCGGCTCCTTTCGCGTCTCCCCAACGAGGGGGCTCTTGGAGACCCGGCTGGGGCTACCCAGGTCTCATCGCCTGCTTTCCCCGCAGCGACTTCTGCTCCAAAGTGAAGAACACCATCTACTGCAACGTGGAGCCCTCCGACTCGAACATGCTGTGGGAACCCCTGTTTATGATCGACACCATCGAGAACCCCTCAGCCCACAACTTCACCTACACCAACCTGGGCAAGAGCCTGGCAGACAACCCGGCCAACCGCTACAGCTTTGTCTGCAATGCCCTGATGCACGTCTGCGTGGGGCACCACGACCCGGACCGGTGAGGGCCCGGCCGGGTGAGGGGCCACGGGGGGACTGCTGATGCCTCTTTCCCTGGGGAGGAAGCAAAGGAAGGAGAAGCAGGAGGTCTGGCCCTCCCTCTTCCTTCTCCCCACTTCCTAGTTCCTGGGGGTAGAGGTTGGATTCACGTGTTACTTTCAGCTCTATTGAATCAGCCACACTTAGTTGTCACTCGGCTTTGTGGCTTTTTCTGCCTCTGGAGAATCCGGCAGACCCGTTTCAAAGAGGAGGCTCCGTGCACACCTCCAGGCTGGCCGGCCGAGGCCGACCTCTCTGCGGCTCACGGCTGATAGCCTCGGGAAGACAGCCAGGCCCTCACCGGCCCCTGCTCTCCCACCCAGGGTCAACGACATTGCCATCCTGTGTGCGGAGCTAACCGGCTACTGCAAGCTGCTGAGTGCCGAGTGGCTGGGGGTGCTGAAGGCCCTGTGCTGCTCCTCCAACAACGGAACGTGCGGCTTCAACGACCTGCTCTGCAACGTGGACGTAAGGGCGGGACAGGGAGGGGCAGGAGGGAGGTTTTACAGAGCAGGCATAACGTCTGAGGAGGACCCATTGGCGAAGCAGGTGTGGAAGAGGGCTGCGTGTGCTTGAAGGACGCTCTCTCGGGGAGAAAGCCTGGGCTCGGCTGCAGGGGCCCCGGTGCCCCCAGCTGTGTTCCCTGGAGCCAGTTGCCCCTAACTGATCTTTTCCTGCCTTGACTTTTGGCTTAGCTCCCAGCAGTGCCCCTGTTTGCTCAGGATGTCATCCTTCTCTAGTTCCAAAACACAAAACCTGACCCCACATCCTGATCCGGTGCTTTCCTCAATCCCAGCATTTCAGGGATGTGGCTTAAGATCTGATTTGGAAATATTGGGAATATTTGCCCAGCACTGGGGGGGCGAGGGGGGGGGTCAGTTCTGAATGTAAATGGTAATACGGGCAGGGGCTCAGCCGAGCTGCCTTCCTCCTTACCTGCAGGTGAGCGACCTGTCCTTCCACGATTCCCTGGCGACCTTTGTGGCTATCCTCATCGCCCGGCAATGTCTGCTTCTGGAGGACCTGATCCGCTGCGCAGCCATTCCCTCTCTTCTCAATGCTGGTGAGGGTCCGGCTGGGACACTGTCCGAAGCAGTCCCGGAGAGAGGCCCAGCCTGAAGGGCAGCCTGGCCCTTGACCAACCTGCCCTTCTTTTGCAGCCTGCAGTGAACAGGACTCGGAGCCCGGGGCCCGTCTGACCTGCCGAATTTTGCTGCACCTCTTTAAGACTCCTCAGCTGAATCCCTGCCAGCAGGATAGCAGTAAGCCATTGGGCCTCGGCTCTCCCAGGATGGGGGCGCCTTAGGTGTGTCTGCTGCAGCAGCGGTCAGTCCAGGGCTAAAAGCGTGGGCTCCCCACAGGTAAGCCCTCGGTGGGCATCCGCTCGTCCTGCGACAGGCACCTGCTGGCCGCTTCCCAGAATCGCATCGTGGATGGGGCTGTCTTTGCAGTGCTGAAGGCCGTCTTTGTCCTGGGTGCGTATTTGGACACAGTCTGGGGGGGGAAGGAGGGGCGGAGTCAGGCCACTGGATTAGTCCCCCCTCCTGGTTGCAGGGGACGCCGAACTGAAGGGCTCTGGGTTTTCCCACCCGGGAGGGGTGGACGACCTCCTGGACGACGACAAGAAGTCGGCCGGGCGGATGGTCTCCATCGAGACAGCCAGCCTGGATGTTTACGCCAAGTACGTCCTCCGGAGCATCTGCCAGCAGGTGAGATGGCCGGCCCTTGCGGGGAGTGTTTGCTCAGCAGTGGGCCTTGCCCTGAGCTCGCTCTGGGACGGGTGGCCGGTCCAGCTGCTGGGAGGGGCCGGGTGCTAAGCCCCCTTGAGGCATAGACGCGCCTGTGGGGACGGCCCTGCCAGCCCTGGTCCCGGGGCCTCGGGAGGCGGGGGGCAGATGGCTCGGTGTGGCTGGCAGAGCCAGAGGCCCCCAGGGTCAGTGGCACGCCCCTCCCCCTCTGTCCACAGGAATGGGTGGGCGAGCGATGCTTGAAGTCCTTGTGCGAGGACAGCAACGACCTGCAGGACCCTGTCCTGAGCAGCACTCAGGCCCAGAGGCTGATGCAGCTGATCTGCTACCCTCATCGGCTGCTCGACAGCGAGGAGGGCGAGAACCCCCAGCGGCAGAGGATCAAGCGCATTTTGCAGGTTCCTGGGTGGGGGGCGTTGGCCAGGCGGACGGAGCTCCTTGGCCCCTGCAGGAGCCCGGTGGGAGGGAGGGATTGGCTGTTTCCACGGGTGCAGGGACGAGGGGTGCGGTGAGATTCCGGCTCTCTCCAGGAGAGCACGAAGCCAGCGGGCAGGTTGGCCCCACAGCAGGGCTGTCCTCCTGACCGAGGCGCCCGTCTGCCTTCCTTGCAGAACCTGGACCAGTGGACGATGCGCCAGTCGCTGCTGGAACTGCAGCTCATGATCAAGCAGACGGCCAGCAACGTAAGGACTGGGGCAGGGGCTTCCCGGCTTGCTTCCCTGGGAGAGGCCAGGGCGGCCAAGAGGCCCTTGGAGAAGGGCAGCGCCTGGGAGTTCATCCCAGCCGAGCTGCGCTGCTGTCCTCTTGCCAGGGCTCCAGTGTTTGACTCCCCCCCCACCTCCTGCAGCAGGAGATGAATTCCCTCCTGGAGAACATCGCCAAGGCCACCATTGAGGTGTTCCAGCAATCGGCAGAGACCAACTCAGCCAGCAACGGCATCGTCAGCCTGGGCAGCTGCTCCAACCTCATGCCAGCCAACCCCAAAGCCAAGCCTGTCCTTAGGTCAGCAGAAGTCGGGGGAGGCACGGAGGGGGCAGGATGCAGGGGGCCTGCTGGCCTGACGCTGCTCTCTCGCCCACCCAGCTCCCTGGAACGGTCCGGAGTGTGGCTGGTGGCGCCTCTGATCGCCAAGCTCCCGACCTCCGTGCAGGGCTACGTGCTGAAGGCCGCGGGGGACGAGCTGGAGAAGGGGCAGCATTTGGGGTCTTCCTCCCGCAAGGAGAGAGACAGGCAGAAGCAGAAGAGGTGAGGGACCAGGAGGGGGGGAGGGAAGCCCTGTGAGCCCAGCCCAACCTCTGCCCTTGCTTGCAGCATGACTCTGCTGAGCCAGCAGCCCTTCCTGTCCCTGGTGCTCACCTGCCTGAAGGGCCAGGACGAGCAGCGCGAGGGCCTCCTCACCTCCTTGTTCAGCCAGGTTCAGCAGGTAAGTGCAGGATCCCCAGGGTGGCTTTCTGGCCGCATGGACTCCGGGGGGGCTTTCCTTTCCCAGCCTTTGGCCCCCCAGCAGCTTCTGCCTGCTGAGGGAGAGCTGTTCCCATCACCATCCTCTTAGATTGTGACCAACTGGCGGGAAGACCAGTACCAGGACGACTGCAAGGCCAAGCAGCTGATGCACGAGGCGCTGAAGCTGCGGCTGAATCTGGTGAGCTGGGGGGGGCAGAAGGGGCCCCCTTCTGCCTCCCGAGGCTGCTCCCCTAAGTGTCGGGCAGAGCTGGAGCTGTTGGCCTCCTTTTGCTCCCCTTGCCGCTCCCACAGAATTTCCCTTTTTAGGGAGCCCCCTTTCCTTGGACAGGGGAAGCCCCCCTCTTTCTCTGCCCCAGCCTTCTTGTGGGGCGGGAGCTCATGTGGTCCTTCCCGCCAGGTGGGGGGCATGTTCGACACGGTGCAGCGCAGCACCCAGCAGACCACGGAGTGGGCGGTGCTTCTCCTGGACATCATCAGCAGTGGCACGGTGGACATGCAGTCTAACAAGTGAGCCCTTCCTTCCCCAGGACCTCCCCCCCCCAGCCCCTCAGCAGCTCTGTTGGGGCACAGGAGGCCTCTGATTGTGATGAGGGGGTATTTTTGGCCTGTCTGCAGGCTGGGTCAAATATCCACCCTTGCAGGTCAGCTGGGCTTTCTGCAGGGGACCAAGTCCTTAAGAAATGTCCCCCCCCCCGAGAGCCCCATCCGTAGCAGGACAGGGGCCCAGTTTTCCTGGCCACAAGGGCCGTGTGAATTGGCAGCCCTTCCGGCACAAGTGCAAAGCCTGGCCTGGGCCAAGGGGGCTACCGCTGCTGCTGCCCCTTGCTGACCGCCCTTCCTCTCGGCCCCTGGTCTTCCAGTGAGCTCTTCACCACCGTCCTGGACATGCTGAGCGTGCTGATCAACGGCACTCTGGCCGCTGACATGTCCAGCATCTCGCAAGGCAGCATGGAGGAGAACAAGCGGGCCTACATGAACCTGGTCAAGAAGCTGCGGGTAAACCAGAGCCCTCCCCCCCCCCGGAGGGAAGGGGTGCACTGGCGGTGTGTTCCTGGGTCGACCTCTGCTTTTTTCCTGGGTAACGCTCTTGTGCCTGAGGGCAGCGGGCAGGAGGGGGCCGACCCGGGGGCCCTGTCCGGAGCCACAGGAGCGAGGGCAGGACGGCTGGGGCCACGGTGCAGCTCCCCTAGGGCAGCCGCAGTGGCAAGCATGGCGGCTTCCTCCTCTGCAGAAAGAGCTGGGCGACCGACAGTCTGAGAGCCTGGAGAAGGTGCGCCAGCTGCTGCCCCTGCCGAAGCAGACCCGGGACGTGATCACCTGCGAACCCCAGGGCTCCCTCATCGACACCAAAGGCAACAAGATTGCCGGCTTTGACTCCATTTTCAAGAAGGAGGCAAGTGGCTCCCTGGGCCTCTGGCTGAGGGGGGGGGGCTTGGCTCTTGGCGGGAGGGGACGGGGGTCGGGCTGCGGGACTGGCAGATTTCAGAATGAGGGCTGAATCGCCATGGCTGTCCTCCCCTCCCCCCCTCCTCCCCCCAGGGCCTGCAGGTCTCCACCAAGCAGAAGATTTCGCCCTGGGACCTCTTCGAGGGCCTGAAGCACTCTGCCCCGCTTTCCTGGGGCTGGTTCGGGACGGTGCGGGTGGACCGCAAGGTCTCCCGCCTGGAAGAGCAGCAGCGGCTGCTCCTCTACCACACCCACCTGAAGCCCAAGCCCCGCAGCTACTACCTGGAGCCGCTGCCGCTGCCTCCCGAGGAGGAGGAGCCCCCCACTCCGGTGCCTCTGGAGCCGGAGAAGAAGGTGGTCGAGCCGGCCAAGGCGGAGAAGGCCAGCGCCAGTGCCGGCAGCTCCACGGCGGAACCCAAGAACAAGAGTAAGAGCAAGAACAAGAAGCGCGCCCAGTCAGCCAACAAGAGCGAGGTGAGCCCCCTCCCCAAGGCTGGGCCGCCCCCCCCCAGCCCCTCACCCTGCCCGGCCTGCCTTCTCATGGCCTTTGCCCCCCCCCCAGGAATACCTGATGAACGCGGGCCGAGGGGTCTCCTATGGTGCCGGCATTCCTGCCGACCTCCTGCACCACCAGCCGGGGAATGCCATGTCTCGCCTGGCCTACGGGCAGCCTCCGGTGGGCCTCTACGCCCAGAACCAGCCCCTCCCAGCAGGTCAGTCAAAGGCCGGCGTCTCCTGGAGAGGAGACCTGCCCCCCCCCGAGCCTGGATTTTGGCAGCTTCCCCAGCAGGACCCCCAAGCAGAGCCGGGACAGGGAGCCCAGCGGAACAGAGGGGCTTCCTCTTGGGCTCCCTCCAAGCTCCCCCAGGCTCCTGGCACTGGCCGGGGCTGAGCTAGGCGCCCTTGGCCTCTTCTGCCTGGAGGGGCCCAGAAAAGATGTGCTGCTTCTCCTTGCAGGCGGCCCTCGGTTGGACACATCGTACCGGCCGGTGCGCATGCCCATAGGAAAGCTGGTGCCCAACCGGCTCCCCTACGCGGGGGTCTTGCCAGCCGGCATGGGCATGCTGGGAATGGACCCTTCCTATAAATCAGCCGTCTATAGGCAGCAGCAGCCGCCGCCCCCTGTTCCTGGGGGGCAGCTCCTGCGCCAGCAGCTGCAGGCCAAACTGGTAAGCTCCCAGGGAGGGGGATTGCAGAGCGGATCGCCTGAGAGAGGGTCTCCTGCCCGTCTCCCTTCAGCCTGTGGGCAGTTCTGGAGACCTCTTTGAGGCAGCCTCCAGCTCTTCCAGAAGTGGGACGAAAAGCACCCTGGTCTTTATCATTCCGCTTCTCGGTCAGCACGGCCCAAAGTAGTTTAGAAGGAAAGATCTCGGGGCCAGCGAGGGTCCTGGCCTCGCCTGCAGGGCACCGACTGTGCTCCAGCCACCCGTGCCATGACTCTCTCTTGCCTTCCCAGCAAACCCAGGGGATCCTGGGGCAGCCACCAGTGCGCCAGATGCCTCCCACTCCGGCCTATGGAACCGGGCAGCCCTCGCAGGTGAGTGCCCAGCCCTCCGGCGGCTTCTTCCAGGAAACTTTCTCCTGCCCAGACAACTGGGAAAGGAAGCTGGTGGGGCCGAGCGCGGTCTCTGTTCGGCGGGAGCATCAGAGACTGGCCGCCTTTTTCAGTGAAGCTTCTGAGCAGTAACTATCCTGCCTGGCCCATTGCTGTCCCTGCCCCTGCTTCCCTCTTCCCCTTGCAGGGTTACACCCCCTATGGGGTGCCTCACCTGAGCCTTCAGCAGCATCCCTCCCAGGCCAGCACCATGGTCCCCTCGACCTATTCCGGCCAGACCTACCAGAACGCCCACCCCAGCGCCAACCCTGCCTTCGTCGACGCCGTCCGATCCATGCAGAGGCCCAGTGGATACGTGCACCAGCAGGCCCCGGCATATGGGCACGCCCTGAATGCCGCCCAGAGGTACCCGGGGGGCTGCAGGGCTGCGTCCACCCCCACCCGATCCAGCCAAGGCTCTGCCCGAAAGGCGGCCGGGGGAGCTTGTCTCGGCCCGCCATCTGATGCGCCGGTTCTCCCCGGCCTCCGCTTCAGGTTTCCCCATCAGCCGATGCAGCAACCAGCCATGATGGGCAGCATCAACCACCTGAGCACCCAGGGGGTCCCCACGGGGGTCCGGCCTAGCCAGCTTCTGCCTGACCAGCAGCAGCAGCAGCAGCAGCAGCAACAGCAGCAGCAACAGCAATACCTGCGGCAGCAGCAGCAGCAGCTGCTACGGGTGAGCAGCGATGGACTCTGGCAAACGCTTTCCCTGCCTGGGGGGACTGTGGACCTGCCTGGGGCTTAAGCAAGCTCTGATAACGGGACTGGAAGTCTGTGGCGAAAGGGGAGGGGTTTTAAAAGAGGGGAGGTCCTTGTCCAGGCTGCTTCAATGGCTGCCACAGGCCCAGTTGGCAGAACACCGCCTGAGGTGGTGGAGGTGACCCTCCGTCTTCCCAGGGCTCCTGGCTGCGCTTCTCACGGATTCCCTTCGCCCTTCTTTTTTGCAGCAGCAGCAGCAGCAGCAGCAGCAGCAGCAGCAGCCCCCTCCGCAGCCACAGCCCCAACAGCCACAGCCACCCCCCCAGCAGCCTCCCCCGGTGCCCCCCGTCCCTCAGCCCCAAGCTCAGGGCCAGCCGCCGGGACTGGGGATGCAAGGCCTGGCTCCTCAGCAGCCCCTGGTGAGTCCGGCCTCTCCCTGGGGCAGCCGGGGATTCCCAGCCGCCCACAGCCTCAGTGACGCCTCCCCCTCTGCGCAGTTCCAGCGACAAGGCCTCCAGCAGACGCAGCAGCAGCAGCAGACGGCCGCCTTGGTCCGGCAGCTCCAGCAGCAGCTCTCCAGTAAGGCCTGCGCCCCGGGCCCTGTAGCTCAGACGGCCGGGCAGAGCTGCAGCCTCCCAGGCTCCCCTTAGGGGAAGGAAGTGGGGTTCTCGGGGCAGGGTGCTCCCCCTCTCACCTTCCAAAGCACACCTGAGCAGGTGGCCCTCAATGAGAGCTGAAGGCGAGGGAGAGAGCTTCATGGGAGGGGAAATGCAGGGGGCCGTTGAGGGTCCAGCAGAGCAGACTGCTTTTGGCTGCCAGCATTGCTGGAGGCAGCTTCTCTCCCCCCCCCCCCTTGCCAGGCCTTCTTTTTCCCACCTGGCGGATCAGAGCCGTTTGCAGCTGCGGTGTCTGAGTTGGGGGAAGGCAGAGGAGCTGCCCGCCCTGGCACCGGGAGGGGGGCTCTGCCGAGGCTTCAGAGGAGCCACTGAGGGGCTCGCTTGGGCGTCTGGCACGTGGGGCAGCCCCGGAGTTGGGCTCCTGCTACCTCAGCAAAAAAGGCTGGCTTGTAGGGGGAGGGATAGAATTGGGGCTGCCCCTCGGGTGGCTTTGGTCCCTCCTGCAGCCTTGGAGAGGGGGCAGCAGCTTCACTCGGCAGGCTGAGGAGGCCGAGGCTGCGGCGACTGTGAGCCTGGGGAGAAAGGGGTCGCTCCTACGGTGGTTTGTCCCCATCCTTTTCCCCCCAAGAGGCCCCCTGCCACGGGTCCAGCCGATCTGTGGGCGGACAGGAGCCCGCCCACAAGTTTGGCTGGAGTGGGATGCAGGGACCGTGGCCACGGCACAGACGTGTGCTTGAGAAGCTTGTCGGGTGCAGGGGAGCCTGCCCTGCCACAGAGCCGGGTGGTGTGATGGGCACCTCCTGCACAGGAGTGTCCCTGACGCCGTGCCCGCCTCCTCCACATCCAGCCAGCTTCTGCCCCAAATACTGAGCCGTTTGCTCCCCTCCCTTCCCGGCATCTGACTCCGTGTTTGGCCCGCACAGATACGCAGCCCCAACAGAGCAGCAACCCGTTCGGACGGTATTGAGCCCCGCCAGAGAAGAAGCGGCTTCACGGCGGACTTGGAAGGGCCGTTCTTCAGGGCCGGGGGGGGAGACCAGCCCCCCCACCCGTGGACTCTGGCTGTGCAGCAGCAGCCCCCACCCGTCCACGGCCAGGAGTGTTTTATCATGCCAAACGAGTGTTTTTAATCTCCACTTTCTACCAGTGTTTCCGAATCCTGTGTGATTGCTAGAGTCTCCCACCCCACTTTGATTTCAGCTTTTAATAAGTTTTTAGTATTTTTGTTAAAATAATGACAAAAAAACAACTTGTAAGATTTTATACTTTATTTATACCAGATGAACCCTGTATCACAGATGTCCTGAAAAGAAATACACAGAGCATACTTTCCAGAGCGCAGCTTGGTTTTTTGGCACGGGGGGGACGGGAGGCGAGGTGCAGCGCTTCCTCTTTCCGCATTTTGAAATCGGTTCTCATAATTGGTGCTTGGTGCTGATGGGGAGCGGATGCCCCCCATCTCCTCCGTTCCGCTTGCCTGGGCTGTTAACGAGGGAGAACGTGACCCTTCTGCGTGTGGCACAGAGAGGACGGCCAGCCACGCCCTTGCAAAGCCAAATGCGGAGATGGCAGGGCAGTCCTGCCCACACGGGCATCGCTGTCCAGGCACCCGCTTTGGTTCGAGGAACCACTGAGCTGTTGATCAACATGGGCATCTGGAGTTTCTCTCCCCTTCTGATGTCATCTGTCTTAGAAACGTTGGTGGCCCTTGAGCCACACACCTGCTCACCCCCCCAGGTCTCTTGTGTTTGGGGGTGCGAGAGATGCTGCTCTGCTGAGTTAGTCTCCCCATTTTCATCTGCTGGCTTTGACTGTGGTTGGCCTTGGCTTAATTGCACCGCAGGATTCGACAGTTCGCCGTGTTCCGTGTGTGAGTGTGAATCGTCCATGTCTGGTGCAACGCTGGATGGTCCTGTGCAGCCGGTTTTTGCACAGAGAGGGCTTCCAGCACAGAGGCTGATTCCCCCACTAAGGACATTGGGGGGGGAGGTCTTTGCAGAACTGTTGCCTGGGGTGAGGAGCAGCCCTCTGCCGAAGTCTGTCACCTCAGCTTTCCTCCAGAGCTATCTGTGGGATAGTTCAAGGTTTGCGTCCTTTTCAGTGTGGTTGGTGGAGGCCTGGAAAGGACATGAGCCCCCCCCTCGGGTCTCTGCCCTGCCAGCTCTTTTAGGACCTGCAGGATCCAGTCCCAGTGCAAACTGGGTCACCTTTCCCTGAAGTGAGCCTCCCTGGCCAGGGAGGGGAGCTCGTGTTTTTCCGGAGGTCCGGCCTGGCTTTCCAGATTAATCTTCCCAAGTTTTTATACCTTATGCCCTCTTTCCAGGGGGTCCCTTACTACCCTGTCTTCGACTTTCTCTGAACGAAACACGTGAAAACCCTCGTCCTTCAGCTCTTCTTAGATGAAGGTTGGCAAGTGTCCACGTAAGCCTGGCTCAATCTCCCAGCCAGCCAGTTGCAACCATGTTCTTGCACACAGACAGGCTGCCTCACGTCACGTGGTCCCTCTGAGCGTCGCCTCTTCCTCTGATCAGTTCCTTTTTGTTGAAAGGAATGTTTATGCACCACTTAATCGGAGCTCATTAACCCACAGAGGCTAATCTGGATTCCCCGAGCCCGGTGCATAATCAGCATTTAACTCTGCCCCCTTCTAGGCTAACTCCCATGTGTGCTAAGCCAGGCAATCTCGCTGCGTCCGTCTCGGCTGCTCGGGCCCTGGAGGACAAAGCCTCCTGGCGTGTGGCTCTCCCAGCACACAAGACCAGCATCCTCGAGGAGGCACGTGACCTGCTGCCCAACGAGGTCACGAATATGAGGTCATTCTGGCTTTTACCAGAGGCACACAGAGCCCCCTGAACCATCTATAATTGCCAGTTCCGGTTCAGGTTGCTGACGTGAGTGGGCAGACCTTTTAAGGATTGAACCATCGCAGGCCTTCTGACCTGGAGAAGCCACGAGTTGTTGCTTTGTAGCAGAGATGTTCAAGAAATGGATGGAGCAGAGAAAGGAGCCCTGCTGGGTGCCGATTCCTTGCCCTGCTGTTACCGTGTGATCTGACCCTCTTCTGCGGTCAGAGATGCCCTCCTGTGGCTTCTGGCTCCTCTGCCAGCAGTCGGGCTGTGACTGGTAGCACCCAATGGCTGCCTGGGATCTGGAAAGCTGCAGGCTCTCAGGGCACGGGAGCCCCATTCTGGGCCACGGTGGTGGTAAATGCAAAATAGGCCCTGGAAGGAACGGCCTCTGGACCTGCACAAAATATTCTCTTCTTGGAATTAGGGGCAGAAAAGATGACACCATGCCCAACCTTTTCCCGAAAGCTACCGTGTTATCCTGTTGCAGCGAAATGTTTTGTGGCAGGCGTTTATTACAGCTTAGCTTCTGCAGTCCATTTCAATAAAGGCAAGAATAACGATTCGTGAATCTGAGAAACAGGCTCTCCTTCAGAAGCGCTTATTTGTTTCTTTAAACGCCGACCCTGGGTTCGCTCATTGCATCAACCCAGAATGCGGTTTTCCTGCTTTCTCCTTACGTCTTGTGTGACCTCCGGCACTGGGGTTACTGTAGTTAATCCCACAAATGTTTTTGATGCCTGAATGTTTCAAGGGCACCTAATCCCACCATCAACAAAGTTCAACTGCAGAAAGTCGGATGCATCAAAAGCCTGTGAGGGAAGACAATTTGCTTCAAAGCATCTGGGCAGGGAAAGCAAGCTTCATTTTCTCTGGGGGTCCAGATCTTCCCCCGAGCCTTGGCCCTGGCATCAGGAAGGAGAGCCTGGAAGCCCAGCAAATAATGATGGAACCATTATTCCCTCAAATGGCTGTATGTAATGCTCCGAATGCAGGAGGGCAGCCATCAAAGTCTCTCCATACCCAGAAGAAGTGCAGAGATGGGGCAGCAAAATTCTTACAAATTTCTGTTCATTTCTTTGAGTGTCCAACTTTCATGCTCTTAAGTGCAGCCAGTTCTCTGAAAAGATCACCCTTGAGGGATCTCTCATTCAAGCAAGTGAAACCCAACCAGCCCTTTACTTGGGCAAGTGCAAAACACACCAGGCTACTAAGACAGCATTTAAGAAGAAAGTGTAAGGATGGCAATAAAGCTAATATCTCCTCAATAGTTGGAGAGAAAAAAATCTGGGTGGGCTTCAAATGGAAAGTTCAAAAATGGATTCATGCTTGTGTGTGAACTTGAAAAAGGTCCATTCATGGTTACATTTGCCAGACACTTCCTTTGCAGCCCCTGGAACTCCCTGCTAAGGGAAATTATCACCAGCTTCTGGACTTTTTCCGTACAGTACATTGTAAAGCATTGATGCTTGATTGAGCTTTAAAACTGACTGGTAGCGTTTTATGTTATTTAAGAATTTATATACTGCTTTAATCAAGTCTACTTTTATTATTTGTCCTGAGGTTTTACATTATTGTTTTGAAACGTGATGCTTTTGTGACCCTTGAAGCTAATGTTTGATAGCCAGGACTATTAAACTGGCTACATAAGTAAACTCAAGCAGGGATTTTGTTCCTCTTGTGTCTGGCGGCAATTTACAGCCCTGATATCTTGCCCAATGCTGGTGGATTTTGTCCAGAGTGAAATTTCAGAACCTTAAACTCTGTCCTCTTAATTGGGCCCCAGAATCCAGGAGGACTTTGTGTGATTCACAGAGACCTGCCGTTTTCCTCATTCCTTCAGGCTTCAGGAGAATAAAAAGCACAGTAGAAACCGTCCCATTAGGGAGGACATGAAGGTGGCCCTTTTGTTACAGACTCTGATCTTTTTAAACACCTGGCCCAGTTCCATGAAATACGGAAGGTTTCCCTCAGGTGGAGCTTATGGAAGCAACGGGTGGAAACGGGCGTCTGCCCTGTCCGTTATTCACCGCCCTGTTTCTCTGACCGACTTTGAAGATCTGAAAGGAGACTCGGGAGCTCGGAGGCTGAGCTGCTCCACTAACCCAGCTCCTGCTTGACTTCCTGCCCATTTTGTCTCATTTTTTGCGACTCTTTCATAGCATGGAGGACATGGAAAGCCAGGGGCCCATGTCCCCTCTGGGGAGTCATGCCTAGTGGTCAGAGAGCGTCAGCCCCTTGGAATAAGAGCTACTGGGTGGCATTGGTCAATTTCCTCTGAGACGGTTGCGATCTGGGAGGCAGATCCGGCAAGCACGGCCTCAGTGAACTGGGTGGGAGCACCTGCTGCTGAAAAGCCACTGTCTATGGAGGGAGCAATTAGCAGGGCTAAATTTAACCAAAGAAGCATCATTCCTTAGCATCAAACCCAAAATGGTGCCACCATTTCATTTTTTAAAAGAGAAAAGTGCATGAAAAGCAAGTCTCCTGGATGAGAAAAGAATTTTCCTGGGGGTAACCTGCTCCTTGGATCTGGTGCTGATGATCAGAGGCTGGTCCGAAGGGAGCAAAAAACCTGAAAGAGAGGGAGGGGGAGTGAACACACAGCACCTTGGACAGCACCCTGGGCAGGTGGAAGATTCGGTGCCGCCTCCCAGGACCTCTTCCTCCTGGTGGCCGGAGTTTGGCCAGTCTGCAAGCAAAGGGCCTGGAGATGCTATGCAAGGTCCGGCCTGCTCCAGAATTCAAGGTGGATCTGAAATAAAAGGCCAGGTTTGTGATCTTTCGGGTGTCTTTCCTTCCTTACATGCACACGTGCACTGATTTGTCCCTATTTCCTAGAGCAGGGTTTCTGAACCTTAGAGAAACCTTAGCCATGCCTTAGAGACCAACCTTCCCATCCAGAGTAGATTCCAAGACAGCTGTTGAAGGAGAGTTGGGTGCCTCTGGGTGGTGAGAAGGAGCACCCCGGAAACCACAACTGCAGTTGCTCAATTGGGAGGGCTGGGACCCAGAGAATGGGGAGAGACTAGGCAAAGGGGGAACTGGGAGGCACGTGCAGGAGCTCTTGGGGGGGGGCGAGGCCAGTGGAAACCAGGGGGGGGCTGCTGCTGAGGTCTGGGGGG